GTCCTGTCTCTCCAATAAAGGCAGAAAATACCCAAAAATAGATCTTAAAAAAATTAAAATAAATAGTGCAGCGGAAAGGCGGGAAATAAATAACTTTTTACCCTTATATAGTAAGTCTCATCCATCGACCAGGAATTAGTAAATATTATCATGTGACATGTAACACATAGAACTGGTTTATACTGTACTCTTACTCTCGGCAATGTAACACTTCCTTTTAACAGACAGACATTTTAAGCACAACCAGACTCATTGGTTAACAGCCATCTGTCCTGACCATTGTAACCTTAACCCCACACTTAAACCAAATTCAGTGGAGCTTAAATTATCAGTGGCAAGTATTACCTATCTCATCTTAACCATATAGTTTTCTCTTCAAATGTATTGGACACGAATGTATTGTGTTGAATAGGTTGAGCCCTGGTAGGCAAACATACTTTTGATTTGGGCAGCTTAGAATATGGCTGAAGTTATTTTAGACTATGTACGTTTTTCCAATAAATCTCAAGAAAACTGACTAAATAAAATCTGTTGGTGCTGTACATGTCTAAACACAACTTCCTACTGTGTCAGTAATTCTCAGAGCAAAGTCTATTTTTTTTTTAGAAGAATGAACTCTAAACAGGTCAAAATATATTCTTACATCCTTTAACATGGCTCTATCATTTTTTAAACAGCTAGTCACTGTAGTTTTTAGCAGACATCCAAACATGGGCAAATAGTTCATCACTTTGGGACTGTTTTCAGAGAGGTTTTTCTTGACATTCAGTTAGTTGGTGTAACTTCATCACCAGGGTCGTCCGGTATTTACTCAAAATAAACTTCAGTGCCAATGTTCACGGTCATGGAGAACCTCGCCAAGTTAAAAAGCTTTTGCTTACTGATTTGTTTTAAATAGCCTTCGGACACAATAGGCGTCATTGAATGAGATGAATTAGATTTATTAGGCTTTCTATACACAGAGAATTCTTGTCATTAGTAGCAATATTATGTGGGTAAATATTTATGGGGGATTTGTAAAAAGTAGTGCAACCAAGTCTTAATCCTTAATCTTCATTCATAATTCTTGTGTTTCAAGGAAAAGTGCAATGTTTGGCATTCGGTCAAATCTAAGGAATCAATAAGAAGCTCTTAATACAAGCTACTACACACTTTGAGTCCAAAAATAGTTGTTCATATTGAAGCTCAAATTTTCATTAATCACCCTCACTGCGACACACCTTCTTTTCCCTCCTCTTCTCTGGCATCTCTCCTCATCTCATTCATTCCTTTCCTCCTCCTCCTCCCCTTCCCTTCCAATTCCACCTCTGCTTCTTCTTCTTCTTCCCAAGCAGACGTCACTGGAGACAGAGCCATTGCTCCGGCAAGCTAAAAACAGGTCAAGCGTTGTTCCGTGATGTTAAGATGAATAGCAAAAGTCCCGATAGAGAGGAGTGAGGGTGCAAAGAGGGGGGGGGGATATGAGAGTCAGAAGAGGAGAAGAGGAGGCATCATAATGGAAAGTGTATATGAGCCAGAGTGAGAGTGAGAGTTTGTCAGTGAAAAGGAAGAGGGGTGTTTTACTCCCAATCACTCATCTGACTCTCCTGTTTCCTCTCCGTGTATCACATTACAAATGCAGCCAATCTTATCCTAAAATAAATGTAAAGCATGCTTTCTGGCTTTAAGAAGTCACTATCCTTTAAGTTCGGATTTCAAATCATATAGCGTGATGCTAACAGAGGCAATTCAGTCTCTGACGTCAGTGCTATGAACTGAGGACATGAACATCATGAGCTGTTTCCGCACATCCATATATTATTTCCTCAACAAATCATAGGAAGTTCATTAAGATTTTATGGAGTTGAGTAACCTGAAACCCAACTGATGATGTGGCATAAGCTGCAACTAGCGGTGCATTTTTCAAAGACATGCACGTACATCCAAAGATACAGGACCAAAACAAGTGATTCTACACTTATACTGGGTCGACTGTTCTGTGCTCCTGAGGGCTCTGTGGTGAATCTGAGCAGCAGCAGAGTTTAGCAGCTCCAGCTAAGATAAATGAGACAATTAAACCGTGCTTGATGGCACCTCAGTGACTAATGGCTTTTCCTTCCTGCTTGTCTGAGCGCAGACAAACAGTAGTAAGCAACGAGATGTGTGTGTGTGTGTGTGTGTGTGTGTGTGTGTGTGTGTGCTGCGTTGACAGACACACGCTTGTGTCTATGTGAGTGCGACGCTGTTTCTTGTGTGTAGGCAGGAGGTTTGTTGAGGATTTCAGCTGCCAGATAAACAAACACTTGACATGCAGTATATTCAATAGGCATTTAAGACAATCACAGAGGATTACCAGGTGACGTGATAGAAACAAAAGTTTTTTTTACAGGAATCATTGTCCGTAAACTTCACAATCTGTTTGATGTGTTTGATATGTGATAGTATCTGATCATTTAAGGTTCACATAAAGATGGCATTCTTAGCCTGTGCAATCAGCTTGGTAGAATGGTAAATGGACTAGGACTTCTACAGCGCTTCTCTGGTCTTCTGACAACTCAAACCCATTTCCTATTAACTTTCAAATTCACCCTTTCACACCACTTACCCACACTGGCAGAGGCTGCCATGTAGAGTGCTCAACAGTTATATTCCATTCCCATACATTCTCACACCGCTGACGGGGCAGCAGGAGCAATTTTGGATTCAGTGTCTTGCTAAAGGACACTTTGACATGTGACTGCAGGACTAGGGGATCAAAAACCAACAACCCCGAGTATAGAGACGACTAACTATATCCACTGGCATTATGCCACTTTGTAGTCATTTCCTTCTGTGTGGGTTAGGGTTCATGATCTGTATATTTGTATTTTGTCATTAAGTTGACCTTCAGATTCTGCTGTCTAAAGGTGTTGGGGGGCTTACAACACACTTGTAGTTCAACACGTGTAGCAGGGGTAGGGGGTTGCACTTTCTCATCTTGACTTCCTGTTGTATAGTCTGTTAAAGGCCATCAGCGGGCTTGAATGAACAGACAGGACAGTCATGTGGTAATTAGCTCTGCTCATTAAAACTGACCTCTGGCTTTGTTCTGCCATCTGGATACACTGTCCTACCTCCTGTGAGATGTGTGTGTACGTATGTGTGTGAGACATGATTCCCCCTTTTACTCATCACTTAGATAGAAAATGACCTCACCTGTAGTTTATTTCATTTTTTTAATATTTAAAATTTCTATTTGATCTATTGATTTATAACTTCAAAAAACATCATCTGACAGACACATTACAGTTCCCTGTACTTGGGAATAAAACAAAAAGGGTGTGTTTTAACATTTTATCAGTTTTTTCTGAACACTTAATATCCAAACATTCTTTTGAATTATATGAATTGGGAGAGTCATTTTACCTTGTGTTTCTGTCCATTATAAACTCGTCACATTTTTAACATTCATAAACATAACGTGCTCAGGAGCCAATTAGCCGATCCATTGTCTGGGGTTACACAGTCAGCTGATTCAATTATGTTTCAGAATGTGAAGGAGCAGAGCACAACCAGGCACACAGGCAGCTGGTTCAGCCTTGAATGCAACAATTATTCCACATGAAATGCTGATCTTTTTCATTTGGTGATGTACGAGTGGAGTTGGTGGATAATTCTCTGCTGCGGGCAATGTGTCACAGTCCAGTTATTTCCATATCTTTCCAAATGTACAGTAGCAGGCCCTCACCAGTTGAAGTATCAATCCAATGATGTCCAATAATGTTAATTAACATTTTAATGGGAGCTACACAATGGTGGACACAACCAAGTGACCTGCAGAGACTGACAGGAAGTTACTTCCTGTTGTTGGCATTACATGTCAGTTTTATATGGATTGAACATGTAAAAAACATGTGCCAATCAAAATGCTTTAAAGCAGATTGTGTTACCTTATTACAGGTCAAGCCCAGCTGTTTTCCACCATCTACAGTTTTTAGGCTAAGCTAAGCTAATGTGTCATTGGATGTAGATTCATATTTAAATATTCTATATGGCATGATATTGATCCCTATTGGCAAGAAAGCAAAGAAGCGCATTTTGGTATTTGAACAATCTCCCTGCATTTAACCACAATACCATGACAGTATCAGCTGACATTGTTTGTTTGTTCCCTACATAAAACAAATGTTTCAGTCCTCTGTATGTTGCATTTAACACCACAAGTAGAAACATTTTGACCATTAGATTTGTAAATAATGAACCAGCATAGTGTGGTTCTTTAACCATTTAGTCTGCCAGTACTCTTTTAGTCTACAGCAATTAAAAGAGCTATCTAAGCTCTCAAAATCAACTGACTTGGAAAGAGCACAAATAAATTAAACATTAGAGGCTTCACTGTAAGTGACAAGTGCAGAGTGAGCAGTGAGTCATACTGTACCACACTGTTCACAAGAACCCCATTTTCTGCCACAGTCTGTGATGTATGTCTGCATGTGTGTGTGTGTGTGTGTGTGTGTGTGTGTGTGTGTGAGGGAGAAAGTGAGACATCAAATGACTAAGGGAGAAAAATGCACATCTGCATCTTAATTCAGTTTTGTATTGAAGGAGAATAGTTGTGTGTGTGTGTTTGTGAGACGGTAGTAAGACACAGTCGGTTTGTTGAGCAGCACAAAAGCATCTTTCTGAGACACATTCCTACGGGCGATTATGCAGACAGCATTGTTCACATTTTCTACATGTTAACACGCCATGCTTCATTCACAGAATGATAATGTTCTGATGCATGTTCATTTCTGTAATTCAATATGGTGCACCTTAACAAGAACTATCCTGATAATGGCTTTTTTATGTACTTATACTAGGTATTACCAAATGTACTAAATATAAGTATTTGTTATGTATTTGAATTCAAGTTCTTTTCTCTCTTCTAATACAAAGAAAGTGTTTTATTTTAGCCTCTGAGGAATATGTGCTACACAGGAAATGTGGGCAGTGAAACTATTTGTTCGCTCATTGTAATATGAAAGAAAAATGCTGCAAAATAAGGTATCAGTTATTTTCTTTATTTTCTTTGTCCTTGAATCATTCAATGATCTCCTAGTATTTTTTAGACACTATTAGATAGGAGTCACTAGCATTCAAAGTGCTCCAGCTGTAAACAAAGGCAACTAGTGTGAATCTAAATGTTATTCAATTATTTTCACTAAAATGTAGTGCACAGGCAACATTTGTAGTAAGACAGCATGATAAACGTTTATTTGACTAAAATGACAAGGAAATAAGACACTGGTAAAAACACTAAGGCCAAACTCAACATTAAAAAAAGACATTCGATAAATGAAGCACGTAAATATGTGCTAAAAGCAAAGACACAAAAAAGACAAAGAACACATGTTTTGTAAACTTAATAATAAATAAGGAGTTTAAAATAAAATAAATCAATGCTGAAGACACAGAACAAGATTAGTTTATGATTCATGACGCTCAAAATTATTCAGGTCAGGAAGGTTATTTCAAATTTTGGCGCATGCTCTGAAAAGCCCGATGGCAACACTATCATGTGATCCCGTGGTGTGTTTATCATGTCAGTAATTACCATCTTCATGTGTGCGTATGTGTGTGTGTGTGTGTGTGTGTGTGTGTGTGAGACTTGCATACCAAAGGAAAGTGAGTCAGTGTCAGTATGATGAACAGTTGCTAAGCAGTTGTGGTTGCTAGGAGGTGGAGGGGGGAGGGAAGACAGGTTGGCATTAAGTGATGAAATCTGAGGGTTTACCTCTGTGTGTGTGTGTGTGTGTGTGTGTGTGTGTGTGTGTGTGTGTGTGTGTGTGTGTGTGTGTACTGGTGGGATGTACAAGGTTTTAATATTGATACTGCAGTGTTGGGACAAAGATGCAATTCTACCTCATAGAAGCTGCCTTGTTGGAGGTGATTTCAAATCCAGTTCACAATCAAACACGACCATAAAAAAGGCAAAATCAAAGTAAATCTAAATTCATGATCAAAGCAACGACAGATGACAGGATCATTAAGACAACGAGTTTTGATGATTAATCTTTTTGAAGTGAAATAAATGACTCATTCAAAGAGACCACGAAATGCAGCCAAGAAACGACTGATTTAACAATAGAGGAATGAGTCATTTATTTATTTTTTTTACTTCTGTTGCAGATTTATCAAGCAAAGCTGCAGAGTATCTGTCAGAGGAACACGCAGACTGAAAGCAGCGCGCTCCTCGGCTTTCCCCAGGACGATTACTGTATTAAACACAGCGGGGGGAAACCTCACAGTGCTGGCTTCCCTCTGTGTGTCTCCATATTTTATCTGGGGCTTTTTTTTTCTCCCCTTCAAATTCTAGACAGGCACCAGGCCTTCAGCTACAGTTTTTAGTTCACATATGTTGTTATTTTTTTCTCTAACTTATCAGCAGGTGCATCACTAAGCATACTGTGCATCCTTAGCTGGTTTTGCTCCTGTCAGATCTGGTCGGATCCAGTCGGGTGAAGGAGATGGTGGGGGTGTTGGCGGGCCGAGACACAGGCAGCCATTTGTACTCCAGGTCCTGTGATGGAGGATCCAAACACCAGTCGTAGTGCTTTAACAAATACATACACGCTTCCTGGCGGTAGGAAAGAAGAAACATTGTTTTCTGAACATGTAACTTTTTTGCAACACTCTCTCTGCATGACAGACTTTGTTTAGAGTTAAAAGGTTGTTTGTCAGTGATTACTTCTTAATATGCTAAATCTAAATGTTCTTCTAAAGTGCACTTGGCAGAGTGGGGTGCTGAATAAGAGTCCAATTTGTTAAGCTACAGCCAGATTTGAAAACAGAAATGCAACGCAACACCTTTTTAGCTACCCTGTCAAAATGGAACATTGAGTCCATGTGGTGTGTGCAGAAAAGACCGAAATAATAAACAGTTCATAACTGTGCTCCTGCACATGGAGAAGAGCTCAGTAAGAGCTGAGCACAATTCTAATATTTCTAAATGTCATCTGTTAATATCACAAGCTTAGGTCTGTTTATCTTTAAGGTGTGCCTGTTTCAATTTTATTTTACACAATAAATGCACCCAGAGCAACATGGCTTGTGATATCATATCCAGCGTTCTCCATTGGCTGACACTCTCGCCACAGATCCGACCAATCAAATCAACTAGTAACAGCTAGTTGCCCCGCCCACCTCCACTTTCTGAATGGAGATTTTCCTGATAGAGGGGGAGGGGCAGGATGAATGAACACTATGTAGGAGGGGAGCAAAAAAGAGAGGGAATGGAGGAAGGATGATGATGGTGGGGGTGGGAGGAAGGAAAAAAGGGGAAGCATGAAGCAAGGAGGCGATGAGTCACATCTCTGACCTAGATCCCTGTGGTCTACTTTTTTACTCTGGTCACGCCCTCATGTGAGTGTGTGCATGTGTTTGGTGGTATATGCAAGTGGCCAGTCTACTAAGAGCAAATCAGACATAAGAGGTCAGGTTACAACAAAAGAAGAGTGTCAGCCTATGCAGTATTGTGAACTACTGTAAATCTGATTTTAGGGGCGGCAAGGGTGCGACACTCAGTCGTCAGCGCTTCTTTACAAGGGTGCAACTATCGCAACTGACCCAGTGCTTCTTCACTGAGGGACAGGGAAACATGCACTAGCAGAGGATCAGAGTTGACCTCATTGCTATGGATGACATCATGTTTCTGAAATAATACAGACCACAGTGATTAGGAGACAGGTGACCAGCTGCGTCAGTGAAAGTGAAATTAAAAATTAATCCTGACTGCGGATGACCTCATCACAAAGGCTCAGGGAAACCTGGTGCTGACAGACTCTTTTCTTTGCCCATGCCACACATTTAGAGACATAACCTCTTAATCTAATTGGATCTATTATTAGTATTTTTTTATTATTTTTTATTATTCATAGTAGATTTTCATGTTTGCATGTTGAAAATGTTCTTAAATTTCCATCGTGAACATTTGTCTGATTTTGCACATTTCATCCTTCTGATTAATTTTTTTAACACTAAAGCACTAATGTATTTATTTACACTCAAACTTGGTGTGGTGTCACAATATATTTAATACTGTTTGGCTTCTGTTATTTTTTGTCAAAGCCACTTATCACCAATCTGCCTGCTGAAATATGTTTCTTTTTATAATGGCATTTAACCTAAAAATATGTGTTTTATTATGTGTTTGTTGGGTGCTGATAAAGAGATAATATTAAGAAGGTCTATGTTATGTATCTTGATGACGACCTGACTGATCTTTCTTTTAAATAATGAATTCATGGATGCCTATAGATTTATATAACAGTCTCTGTAAAGAAAAATCAGATATTGGTCTCTAAACACCCTAACTGTATATTTAAGAAGAAATGTAACAGTATACATGTGAAAAGAATGAAAAATGAAATCCACCTTATTCTCTGATACCAGTCTGTTTGAAAAGTCAGTACACTTTTTGGTCCCTTTGGTTTTTTGGAGGCTGGTTATCTCTGGGGTAGCCCTCTCTCTTGTAGAAATTCCCCTATTCCTCTTAATAACCAATTTTACATGATTAATACATGTTGCGATGTCTATAGCCATCGCCATGACATTTATAATCACTGGCTTTGACTTCGGTACATGAAGAGGGGCTCTACTGTTCCTGTAGTGCCATTCAAGTGGGCGTGATTTTGGCACATTCAAAGGACACACCCACAGTATCCCAGACTGCTTAATTGTTGGTGTTTTTTAAACTTAATTTTGTAAACAGTACTTAGCTGTTTTTTTCATCTCTGGAATTTGGTGTTACGGTTAATAACAGTCTTTTCAGCTGTAACAAATATATATTTTCTATTTTTCTACAGGAACTTCAAAGTAAGAATAAACTTTCCAATGTGTGTTTGCATAGGGAAGTTGATTACACCATTTGAAGAGCAATAGAATAAAACCATTTTTTCTGTCTCCATGGCACTGGTTATGTTTAGTAATCTGGTTCTAAACACTGAGGTAGGATCGTCCTGCTGAACGATGAGGAGAGCAGATCGTTCAACCACTTTGGACATTTCACCTGAGCTCTATTCAATCAGGCATTAACAATGACTCATGGGAGTCTCTGTGTGTGTGTGTGTGTGTGTGTGTGTGTGTGTGTGTGTGTGTGTGTAAGATGAAGTCATCTCTCTGTTCCATTTTGGTTACTTTGCTGAAACACCCGCATCCATATTATGTTTCCGTGCTTGTGCAACTTTTTCTAGTCCAGATCATACAGATGGCTTCTCTTTAAGCGTAACCACCAGCGTAGGTGAAATAACGCACTTCCAGAGTTGGTTAACAGTCTGACTCAACGGATGTGAACTGCTGAGATAAGCCTCTCATTGGCTGACAAGTGCAATCTGCTTCTGCTTCCTTCCCCCTGCTCTCTCTGGCCATGTTCATTGGGAAACAGCAACGATAAGCAGCTGACACGGCAATGAATGAAGTCATGAAACGACTGGTTCAAAAAACTATGATACACTAGGGTAACACCACATATTGCTACTTAAAAGAACTGGCAGCTTTCATTAGCCAACTGGAAGTTAGCCCCCCCCCAGCACATTCTTTGTGTACCTGGATGCTAGTATATCACACATATTTGATTTTAGGGAAGTTAAAGGAAACATAGCCAAACTGATGATATAGTAAGGAAATATTGTGATTTAATTCAGTAGATGTTTTCTATATTGGTCATTCAGGAGGGTTGTCTTTGAGAAATAAAAATAAGCAGGGATCCTTACAAGCCAGTTGCATAAGTCTCCTTTGAAATCCACTAGCTCACAGTGTTTGTTTTGAGGTTGGTGCTACCCCCTAACTCTCCTGTGTCAAGGCTCACATGGCACATATTGTACAGCTGTTCTTGGAGGGAACGTCCTCACATGGGAAATACATCTATCCCCTTCCTGTGGCAACACCTGTAACATCACCTGCCTTGTTCTGGGCTCCCAAGGGTCATGTTTGCACGTGTGAGTGTTTGTCTGCTTGTCTCTGGAGTATATAGGAAAAGGTGGCTATGGTGAGAGGTGCCGTGGGGACTGACAGGTGGTTCAAACAGAACAGTCTGTGCCTGGTCTCTCTATGTGATCCCTTACTCTATTAAGCACACACAAACACACAGCCAAGCATTTCATCATACCGACAAGCGCTGCTTACTGAGTGGCTGGGTGATGGTTCACAGCCTCTTATGCTCCCTCTCTTGATATAAGGCTGCAAAATCTTCAAATCTTCCTTATTTTGTTCTTGATTTATAAGTCATATAAAGTTCATCCATATCAATAGTAGTACATTGAAGGTCCTAATTGTGATTAAGGGCTTTCCAAGAAGCCTATCCTCCTTAATTATCATCCCATTCTTGAATGGCTGTGTTTTTGGGGTAAAAGCTTTAAGACTAAACCTCATACAATGTGGATTTTATCACAGAATTACTGATTAAAGATTAGATTACTTATGACATATACTAATGTGTGAGCTTGTGTTATTCTTAATCAGTGCTGTTGGATCCTCGTCTCCCCCCTGAAGGAGATTTAACACATTGGTTGATTGGCAGTACATTTTTCAGCAGCCTGTTGCTGAGTCCAGTAGACCCCCTCCTAACCCTGTGACACAGACACTGAAATGAAAAATGCAAAGCTGAGGCTGGAGAACCACACATTTCTCAGCATTATAAACCCTCCTTCATGTCTGTTTCTGTGGTTCAAGATCGCTCCCACTGAACAAGAGAGTCAAAAAAAACAAAAAAAAAACACCTTCAGTTATCCTTTTCCTCCTTTGCTCAAAAATGTCACAATCTTACAGACAAGAAGAGCAATGGCACGAATGAGATTGTGGCACCTGTGTTTGTGCATGGCAGTGAAATGAGCAAAGAAAGGGAGTCACCTTCAGGAAGACATCGGTAAGTTTAGTTCCAATGCAGCCTCTTGGCCCGTTACCGAAGGAACACAGCAAGTGCTCTTGACCTGCATTCCTACACAGACAGAGAGTATCATGGTTACTACACAAATACACACAAACACAAAATATCTGCGAAGAAATCAGATATGCTGATATCAGTATTCGAAAAGAGAAAAGGGAAACACTAGTTCATACATACATACATACATTTGTTTACAAACCCATAACCCGACGCTTTTCACTTTAGGTTGCACTGGCACAATTTAAGAACACCACTTACACAACAACAATGTACGTTGCACAACAAGGTAGGTAGTATATACCACACATCTTAAATGATAACGTATAATATCATTATGCAACCTTTAAATTCTACTCCACTGTTTTTACTTTTATTATACTTTTAGAGTTGTTTCTAATTTTTTTATTCTAAATGTATTTTATATATAAACATGTGTAGATATGCTTTTCTGGAAAGGTACAAAATCCCATTTCAGTATGTGTGTAACTTCATATTTAACCAATGAATGTGAACAAATCAGAGTGCTGAAGCCAGTGTTGTTCTTCAGGACTGATTTACATCCCATTCAACGTCCACTTCTCAGCAGAATAATGACCACTTCATGCCTCTGTTAGTGCTCCTCAAAAAACAAAAAACTGTCAAAGAAGTCACTGTTATTCACAGAATGGTCATCAGATGTGACATCATAATGATGAAATGATGGGCAGACGTCTCTCAACCAATGACAGGATCCAAATGATGGTTCATATTTCAGATTAAAAATGATGCAGATGTGAGCGGCTCAAATCTGGCACTGTGGGGAGCGTTGATGTATCTGACACAACAAAAAAAAAAAGCAAACAACTCGTGCAAAATTATTTTTTTATACCTATTCCTTGCTTGTTGCTCAGGACCTGGCATGAAATAAAAAAACTTGTCTTTTGACTCTGGGTAGCATGAATGACAATGACCACAACACAACTGGGACTGGATTTAGAGTCAAAAATTGATTCAAGATTCAATTAATTGTCACTTCCATAAATGACTCTAAGCTAATATGGGGGCGAAATGCCGATACTTAAATAAAGCTAGACGGTTAAAAACATGACAAAAAGAAAAACACAAACCTGTTACAGTAAGAAGCAGTAATGTGTGCCAGCAGAGTCAAATGTGATGTGACGTGTCTTTTGAACTCTCTGCCACATGTGTAACACGTTTTTAATGTAATGCCTCCAAAAATATACCTTAAATGAAGAGCTGCTGGTTTTCAGCAGCCTACTCATGTGGGCCATCTTTCCCCTCTCACCACTAATGTATCCTGTGTTCCTGAAACCTGAGCTCTGATTAAAGGCAAACAGGAAGCATTAGCTCTGTGTGTAGTCTGAGTCCAGTGTGTTAGAGGCTTTGTGTGTGTGTGTGTGTGTGTGTGTGTGTGTGTGTGTGTGTGTGTGTGGGAGAAGGGAGAATGTAACTTGTTCTTTGCAGCTTCTGTCTAATGGTTTAATGTTCTATTGGGCCCGTCCTGTAACACTTAAATGTGTAGTGTGTGTGATGCACTCTGAGACACAGAGAAGTAAAATCGTACATAGTCCAGTCCAGTATAAAGTTTGATTAGATATGTTGAAGAGATGGGAAAAAAACAGAAATAAAATCTAAAGTTTTCCTTGTGTTTCCACCTTCATTCTTCTATAATGAAGATGAATACTCCATGACTGAAACAATTATATATATATATATATATATATATATATAAATTCTCTTAATTCATTGTTTATTTATTTATTTAACAATAATTTTGATGAATGGGCTTTTTTTAAGGGAACAGACTGAAAAAGTTCAACTTTCTAAAAATATCACAGTGATTCTGTCAGAACAATCTAGCAACAACTACTGTATGTTTAGATCTAAGCAGCACATTTGTTTTACTTAAACTTTAAGTACGGACAGTTCATCAAATTTCAGTATTTTTCCTGCTAAAAAATGCTCAAAACAAGTTTTTTTGGGAACTGTTAATGACATTCTCCTGAATGGTTAGAGCAAAAACTAAACACAAGTGAAATTAGGGCCAATTCCTTGTATTTTTCTATTATTGTATTTTTCTCCCTTTTTTTAACTGATGTACATACGTTTGATTTTTAACTTCTTGTTATTTTTGATAATTATATTCCTGTTTCTTGAGCTGTTGTGACAAAAAAAATGTCCCCCATGGGGGATCAATAAAGTTTATCTGTATCTTTATTCAGTGTGATTGTAAGGCTCACTAATATGTATATGGTTCAATTAATGTATGTGGGTTAAGAATTCTAACACTGAATATCTGTAAAAAAAAAAAAAAAAAAATGTATTAAAATCTTTTGGATTTAAAGAAAACGTATTCTCAGATATATCTGGAACTAACAACTCAGCCCACTGCAGTAGCTCAGATTTGTATCTGTGTTAGGTAGCATTTCCGATTCATTCATCTACAGCCGGAGCCTGGGGAGGGAGGCAATGCTATTAGCTTCCAACTGGAAAAACAAACACACATAAACAGTCACGTTGATGATACAGCATATAACACACACACACACACACACACACACACACACACACACACACACACACACACACACACACACACACACACACACACACACACACACACACACACACACACACACACACACACACACACACACACGATGTGTTGAAACTGTAGTTATCGTAGGTGGGCTTGTTATGTAACAGCACTGCAGTCATTACTTTAAAGAGCCAGGTGGCACAGAGAGGAGCTAGGCAGCTATCAACGCTGACAGGGAAATAATCTCCAGGTAGACTGACAGATGGAGGAGCAGAGAGAAGCAGGTAGGAAGAAAAGAAAAACAGACCGGAAGATAAGTGGACTGATACAGCAAACACACACAAACAAACAAACAAACAAACAAACAGAAAGATGCCTAATTTATTCCTCCAGAGGGAAACTCACTAATTTCAGCAGCAGTTAAGACTAATATCTAGCATTCACAAATATAGAAACAACTACAACTTCAGTTACCTCTCAACCTCAAGCTGATTGGCTACTTAAGGAGACATGAATCTCAAACTAACAAACTAACTATTTATTAAATTCAGTAGGTATTTTTGTAATTATTCATCTTTGGTGCAGATAATGATTAAATGCAGCAAAGTGATGTAAATGGGATAAAACCAGAGAAAGATTCCGTCACCATGTCCAATCATCAATGTCATTATGTTGTAGATCATTCTTATAAATAAGAATAAGCATTTAGATCACTTCCTGTTTTTTTTTCAAAATGTATTTCTTAAAGGTTTCATTGTGGAAGTTTCAGCAAATGAAAGTTCCTCCATGATGTCATCATCTCTTATTTATTTTTTAATGCATTTTTTAAAGCGTTTTTGATACATTTTATATCATATTATTTTCTCAAGAAAAAATACATCATGACTCATTCTTAACCCCATCCCATCCTGCAGATCAGGAAGCACACACACACACACACACACACACACACACACACACACACACACTCACACACACACACACACACACACACACACACACACACACACACACACACACACACACACACAACAAAGCACATAGGGAATCCCCATTGGCAAAAAAATGGGTATGAGGTACCCAGTTACCATGGCAACAGCTACCTTTCTATCAATTTCATTAAATTTTTTAAATGACATCCATCAGTAGGTTAACAATGTTTTGGGTCAAAGCAGATCATCATCTTTAATCTTTAATGGCTTAAAGAGTAATTTATTTATATTTATTTATTTATCTTTTTTTTTGTAAATACTTTGTAAATCCAGAACATCTTTTGTCCTTTTTGCTTCGTAGGGGAAATTGTACAACATGTTATCTTCAGTTAATTTATGGTTGACCGAATCTATTCCCTAAAAGAGAGAAGAAAAAAAAATCTATTTTCATTCCTTGCACAAAAATCTGTTATTTTACTGCATGAAAGTTAGAAACATAAAGATCTGGCATGCACAGTAAATCCTACATCTTAACTATACCAAGACACCGAAATGTATTTAGAAATACTGTCAAGGTCTTTTTTTTTTGACCTTGAAAATGTGTTTTCACTCTCTCTTCACCAAATCTCACGTGATTATCATGATCGTGATCAAGGTAGCCACAAAAAAAAAAAAAGATTAAAAAGGAAATAATCCTGACTGTGAAATTGCCTTAACTGATGTGGCTGTGTGCTTTATGTGCATCTGTTGATTTGATTCATCTCCATTGAAAGGGTTTATTTTAATGAGGAATTATTTTTAACCGCTTGAATAAAAAGGGAACATGTTATTTTAGAGGATTCACACTTTTTTGTTCAGACACGTGTGAAGGATAGGATCTTCTCTGACTCATTTTCGGTATCCCATCCCTTTCCTCAGGGCTTTTTTCTCCCCCACCCTGCACACACGCACACACGCACACACGCACACACGCGCACGCACGCACGCATGCACGCACGCACGCACGCACGCACGCACACACACACACACACACACACACACACAAAGGGAATCCCTATTGGTAAAGACAGTGTCAGGTGACTGGTTTCCATAGCAGCAGCTTCCAACATACATACATTCATAGATTTTTTTTCCCCTCTATCTGCTGTGTCGTCTGAATGATCAAGCATGAATGAGAATAAATGCGTGAATGGAGGAAGTGCATGAATAGAAAAGCGGTTGATGGAAAGAGTGAATTAGGTGAGAGTCAGGTCATGTTTCTCTATCAGTACGAAGCAGTATGTAGCTAGAGAGCGAGAGACGCTAAGGAAGGCATTCTTCAACTGTTTCTTTGTGCATCTTGATTTTGCTTCAAAATCCAGATTTTTTTTATTCCTGTCTGACTGTAAGCCCTTAGATGTGACAGTGATCAAGTCAGGTTGCGTACTCAGGCAGTGTTAATTGATCTGCATTGGTTACTATGGTAACATCATGGGCCAATGTACATGGAGCAATAACAACTCGATTTTTCCATACAGATTTACTTTAAAAAGTTTTTCTCCAATTGACAAATTATTTACTCTGCTTTTTATGGAATTAATAATAATCTAAACACAATTTACACATTTAATTTTTCTTCATTTAAAAAAAGCACAATTGTGATTGGCAAAAGATTTGGAATGATGTTTGCAAACATAAAAGGACTTCTTAACCTGAGGCTTTACCGGTCTGTTATCCTTTATTTTCAGCCTATCAGGCATTGTACGATTATACCACAGCCGCTGACCACACTCCAAACCAGAAGCTCTGACCAACAATGACACAATTTTGTATTCAAAACCAAACAGAAAAAAATACATTCCACTCTTCTTCTACTTCTTCAAATAAGGAGTGAAACCAAATCATATGAGTTGAGGTTTCTGCAATGATTTTTGACTTGCTGTGTCCCATAAATGATAAAAAAACACACAAACTGAAACCAATGATAAATCAACCTTTTTGAAACTCACGATTAATTTTTGTGAGCATAGAGCTAGAAAGTCTATGTTTTATCTTTGAAGACTATAGTGGCATATTTCTTTTTGATTTTTTTCCACCTAAACCTGCAGCTGATGATTCGAGCACTGTAGCCTCTATATATGGGGGGGGGGGGGGGGGCTCCTCCAGACACTAAGTTAAACCAGCACTAAAAGACGAACAAATCAAAGATTCTCACCGTCCACTCCATCTCTCTGGAAGGAAGCTGTCTGGCTCATGGAAGACCTCAGGGTCTCGGTGGACAGAGTGGCTGACATAGATGACACCGTGATTCTTTGGGACCAGAAACCCTGCGAGGGTGGCATCCTACACACAGAAAGTGAAGGACATGGCAACATTAGGAGATTTATTTAAATATCAAGTGACATATACTTACCTTTACCTGTACAGTACAGTCGAAAGTGCTAACCATGATCATTTTTGTGACGGTATTCTTCACTTTTCCTGAAACTCTCCAACCACTCCCACTCTGTGCTTTCCATTTATTGATTGCTATCCGACAAATATGATTGGGGGCTTAACGACACCAGTATGAAATATCAGTGACCCTGCATGGTTTAAGTTAAACTATCTTGTAGTTTCTTCTTACTAAATTAACATCAACGCTTGGGTAAACAGGCTGTAGAAGTGTCACCAAGACTATTTCTTCACCCTGTGGAATGAATGCAGCTTTCACTGGGGTCTGAGTTCTTACCACTGATTTTCAAACGTCATTCAATGGCAAGTCCTGCTTTAAATATACAAGCAGTTTCATCATAGACAGCCATGATATAAAACGAGATGGTAAGACAGCAGTGATGTAAATGCAACAACAATGCTATTAGCTCCCCTTTGAGCCAAAGGGAATGAGTGACCTCTTTAACCCAAATGTTTGCCTCAAAGTAAAATTGCATTTCCAACCAAATTTCCGGAGCTGGTATTAAGCTCTGTTGAAAGGAGCCACCTTAGGGCAAAAAAAAGACCACATTCTTGATTGTTGCCCTTTAAATTCATCTTTTCACCCCATCCATTAGTAGCTGCACTAATGGACTGCAACAGAACATGATCACTGTTTCTCTTTCCTCTTCCCTCTTAGTCATTTTTCTCTCTCTGCTGGAGTGGAAAATCTTTTACAAATCTCCTCTTTCTTTCTCTCTCGCTCTGTTCTCACAGACAGATGCCCTCGCTGAGTTCACTCTCTCTCACTCTTGCTCTCCACCTCTCCACACAAAAACACACTCAAACCGTTCCATATCTTAGTTCCACCTGGATGGAGCTTCGCCTTTTTCCACCTGATTGTGAATACTAATACCGTCTATCTTTATTATGCACCATCCTGCACACACGAACATCTCATTAACTTGTTTCTCTACAGATCCAGGACTTCCCCTTGGCTCTTGTTTTTATTAGTTGTTTTTTTTTTTATGGTCTTACAAAAGATTTGCAAGTGGGAAGAGCAACTTTCACTCTTTTTTGGTTGTGTTCTTGCTTAATTATTCAATTTCAAAACATTAGGACTATATCAGGGTTTGGAGTCGTTTTCAGTGACTTGCCTGTTTGTGTTTCTGGGCTTCATATTGCTTGTTATCTCATTTTGGCCATGCTGTTTGTATGGAACATGTAAATCCCTGTTTACATCATCATTACACAAAACCAGGTTTCTGATCATCTGTTGTAGATGTGTCTTTATATCTCATAAACTCAGTCAATGTGTTCTATGCCAAAATAGAAACCTGCATAGGTGTTTACATGCACAGTATCCTGACTTCTATTTCACTAGTCTGAGGAGAATGTTCACACTGCTGGATATGCTGCTCAGGAACAACTCAGGGTTCAGTATGTTGCCCATTGAGCCACGGCCTCCCACAGATTTCTGAAAACAGTGTACAATGTCTTGATGGGGAAGTACATTTGTATTTAATGTTAAGCTACATTGTAACATCTGTCTTTAAAATAATATTTCATAAGACTTCAGAGTACATCTGTGTTGTTCTGTTTGTTTTAATATTGTCACAGTCAGAATGTTTCATTGACATTTCAAAGTGGCCAATACATCACTTATTAACTTTAAGCAGTCTGCAAAGAAGCTGCCTTGTACGTAAGTACAAATGATCAGATCAAATCCTTTTTTTCTGTCATTGTATCCTACTTTGTATTTATGCCTTCAAAAGAAATACAAGGCACCTTATCACAGAGTTATTTCTTCCCTAAAATTGAAATCCACATCTCACCAACCCGTGTTCCACTGAGGCCATGACTCAGTGTGAACTGTTGCACTTCCTAGAAGTGACAAATGACTTTCCACTCGGCCTCAGTGTCACCAGCACACATCACTCCCCACACTGACCCCCCCCCCCTTCACTCACATCCTTCCGGAGGGGAAGCGGAGCCAATCAATCACAGAGATGGATCAATGCCTCTGATTGGCCTGTTGCATAAGGCTGTTTGATGAGGCCTCAATGGTCAACGACAGTCGGTGAGCGGGACGAGGCGGAGCAACTGTAAGCTAGCAGCCAATGCAGAGACGGTGCATCGAGAAAAGAGGGATTTCTATTGGCTGTCTGTGCTGATGTCAAAGCAGAAAGCAATCATTTTAATGAATGAAAATCAATGTTATAACAAATACAGTCGGCTTGCGGAATAGAAGATGCTGTAATGGATACAGATAGAGGTCATAGTCGTACAAAACTTCATAGATAACACGTCACTACTAGTTAACAAAGTAGGCCAAAATGATGGCTGCATGGGACAGTTTGAAGAGGTCAAAATGCTCCAGCAACACCAGTATGAAGATCAACTTTATCAACAAATTAGGCCGATGCGTTTCGGCTTGTGGCATTCATCAGGGTCATCAACATGGAACAGTTTACAATTAACAAAGGTTTACTGTCATTGTAATAGTGTAATGACGATTTACAGCTCATGTTGACGTTAAAAAACACATGCTGCTCCAATAATGACAGTCAGAGCTCTGTTGGCACGCAATGTAGCAATCAATGTGATGGTGCTGCAAAGTAACTGCAGTTTTTTGTGCCTCACACACGAGCACACTGATAATGTATTCAATCCTAAAGGTCTCTGAAAAAAAGAGCTTGTTTCAGCCACCTGTCACCAGCAGCTGAAAACTTTAGATAAACTGACAAGTCTCAAGGTGACCTTCAACGAAGGCTCGACATTTTTAAGATTGCCAACACTGGGATTTAGTGCAGGGTTTATATTATATTCAGTATGGTGTTCATGTTTCTTGTCCAACACACAGGATTCTTTGTACTAACTCTGCAATGGACACAACAAAATATGACGTCAGAGCGGAAGATACTTTCTGTTAAAGTAATATGTCGCCATCTAGAGGACAGAAGTGCAAACACAACAGAGAATAAAGTACAGGCGTGTCATTTTCTGAAGACAACAGGAATATAAAAAATACATTCAAGTACAATAATAACTATCACAAATCTTTACAAGGGGACAGAAAATGTGAGAAATGGCAAACAGAGGCTGTTACCAAAAGGTTTCCAAAGAGGAAATTAACTATCCCTAAAATGAACAATTTAAAATTCTTAGTTGTAAGCCTGTGTTCATTAAAAAACTGTATTAAACATTTAAGTAAAAAATATGCATACAGATAGCAATTAGCTAATTCTACTTTTGCACGGATTGTTTTTTATATTCTGATCAACGGTTACTACCATGTGCTTAAAATGGTTAGCATACTGGCTTAAATTAAACTCCTCAAAGTGACACTCAATCTCTCAAATTCTGAACACAGGATGAGAAATACTGGACACCACTAATGATGACAGGAAAAATCCATATGATGCAGAGAAGTCGTCAGGTGAACCGTCTTACCTGATCAGCTAGTCTGCGTCCACCAATGAAAGGAGGCCAAAGTCTCTGAACCTCCAGCAGTACTCTGTGCAGGAAATCAGGCTCTTCCAGGGCTTGCTGGCGCATCTTCACATGAACATTGGGAAATACAGTTGTATATTTCAAATGAAGTGCTTTGCAAAGAAACTCATCACACGTATTTGTTTCTACAGAGGCCTAATTGTACTCAGTAAAAAAATACTCATATTAACTTTCTTTTAACATCAAGTACTGGATTACCAGCTTCAAGCTAAGGTTTACGCATTGGTCTAAGAGTACAGTGAGTACCAGCAGCTGAAAAATGTAGATAAACTGACAAGACTCAAGGTGACCTTCAACCAAGGCTGGACATTTGAAGATAATCAATGTGGTAGTGATAGTCTGGTTGTTATGTTTAAACAAAGTCTTAGAGCATGCATTCATTTTCAACCTTCCAGGTACTATTTAATCAATTCATTCAAGAGCCAATTTAAGATCTCACACAATTTTCAATCTATCTGATTTTATTTTCTGCGCCTTGAAGAAATGTATTTAGATTGTTATACCTGTTCGTTTCCACTGAGTGCCAGTGTAAAGGATGTGAGCAGCGAGGACAGAGCTTTGGGGATCAGAGCTGAGATGAACAGCAGGAGATGCTGGGAGGCGGAGCTGGAGTCAGGCAGCGGCAAAGAAGCAAGAGAGCCCACAAAACTGTAGAGAAGTGAGCAAGGCAGAGAGGAGACATCACGTCTCAGATTAAGATGTCGCTTTTAACAGCTCACGACATATCCATAGACTTATTATAATAAACCAATAATCCCATAACCAGAGATCACCAGCCTCTACTAAACTCTGATTTATGGCACACAGGGAAGTGCTACATGCATACGATCACTTAAAGAGCGTGATCCAGCCCAGTTATCAGATTGTAATGTCACTTCTATCAAGTTTAAAAATAAAGGTATTTCAAAACCTCTGAACTCACCCAAAAGGTTTATTAGAAGAGAAAGTATCCGTCATTTAGTCAATGTGCCAACTGCCTAATTAAGCGATTTTCAATTTGTGTATCAAAAAAGAGCTGAATGCTCAAATCGCAGAGCTTGACAGCGCTTAGGTGGACAGGTCAAATTTGAAAAAGACAAAATGAGTTATTGGCTAGCAGCCTTTGTGTTTTCTTCCATCATCAAGACAAAGAGTTTATGCCATGATCCTGACTATTGAAGATCCCTACACTAAAAAATAAAGGTAGTTTATGGAGACACAATTTTGAAATACTTCCAGAACCTCACTAACACTTTGTGTGATAACTTCAATGAAATATGACTAAACTTCTAGGCATCATGGTGCTATATATTATAATATGTTAAGTTCTAATCATTAATTTGTACCTTTTGAATATATTGTACTTTTGGAGTGGTTTCTACATCATGAAGAAAGTTGTTTCCCTTAATGTGTTAAGGGAAGTGAGTGTTAGAGGGGGTGTTAGAGTCTACATGTGACCTGAAAGTCAACTTGAGCCAGGATGTGTGTATGTGTTAGTGTGTGTGTTTGTGTCTTGGAGTGTGTGCAGAGCCTTACCCATGTTTGTCATTTTCCAGTTTGTCTTTGATGATGTCCATCAGTTTGTCTCTAGCATCAAGAGCGGTGGAGAAACCTGACGACCACAGAGGAACCTTCACGTTCACCGGAGCAGAGATCAGCCCTGCAGGGGCGAGAGGAGGAGGCGTTCACCGAACGTGCAAAGAAGAAACAACGCAAAAAAGAAAATAGCTTTCGAACTCCAGTAAAATGGGGAAGCGGGAGATTTTGCAATGCGGTTTGACTTACTCAATGCGCCTCAAAGAGAGAGAAAGATTCCTTCGACTCATTTACATGAACCCCTTTTTAAAGCGTTTCATTTTTTACTTCCAATCACAGACAGTCTGCAGCTAAGGAAGCTCAGAAGTCAGTAGAAATGATCATGATTTGTCTGCATTCACTGAAATCTGTGTCTCCTTACCATGCCAGTGTTGGGTGCAGAGTTGCGCGATTTCCTGGTAGAGTTCAGGCTGCTCTTCTGCTCGAACGTTCAAGAAAAGGCCCAACACCAACTCTGTCCCCAGACGCTTAAAGGCAGAGTACGCACACACTGGCTCGCCACTACACACACACACACACACACACACACACACACACCGTAAATCCGTAAACAATTGCATAATTACATTTGAATATATAATTCATATTAAACTATATATAACTGTGGGTACAAAGGAGCTGAAAACTTGAAACACACATTTTTAAAAGCCTTGATAGAGATGGTCATCATTTCTCCTGCATTGTTGCCTCTTTACAAATCTGTTTTGTGGCTGCTGTGTGAGTTTTTTCTTTTTGTATACACACACATTTAGATGAACCCTACTCTCCATCTTTTTTTTTGTCCCTGCTGTAAGAGTTTATTTAAATGTCTTTCATGTTTAAGTTTCATAGCCTGCGCTGCAGAATACCTATACAAAGAACATTTGCTTAAAAAATACACTTTGAGTGCTTTATATGAATTGTTACCTGTTAGAAAGATCCTTCAGACAGCGGTCACTTACACTGCAGAGAGAAAGAGGCAGGGAAACACAAAAAAAAAACACACACGTCCTGTAAGTCCTGAACAAGATGACATTTTTTTTAAAACGATGCAGTCAGAGCATTTTGTAAGACTAACATTAGGGTCGATATCTTTCTTATATAGATCTGTAGAGATGTAGAGAGATAGATAGATAGTTTTAGATATACACATTTTTTTTTGCGTCGATCCCTTAAATGCATTTATCAAGCTTGTGGAAAAGATATACACTTTAACGAAGACAAAATGGTCCCTCAGCTGGAAAGTATCTGCGCATGTAGGTGTGTCACCGCTTGATAACCTGGATGGTGATAATGCTCGTAATAATCAATGTAGAACACTCTGCTGGTGACAGCCAGAAAGACTGCTAGTATTAAACATTGATACTCAGATTAAATCCTATTTGACTGGTGAATAAATCGAATAATATTGGCACATATCTGCGATTAAATGAGCCACTGGATTTGCTTATAATGGCCGATATTACAGGCTGGCCGATTAATCGGTCGGGTTCTAATTAACATTTACAACATTCATTTGATGTTCAATTATTTGGACAGACAGACAGGTTATCAGTTTTTGCTAAGATAATATTCAAAATATCAGACATACATTTTGCTTTGTCATGACCAAAAGTCCCACAGAGATGCTGTTTTCAATTGGATTTATTTTCTGTTACAAAGTATCAATTAATGAATAAACTCTTTACAAAAACTTTACATTTGTGTCACCATCATGATCATCAAGCGGGACTAAAACACACAGCTAGAGAAAGATAAGACACAGCTCATGTGACTCTCCAGGTTACAAATACACAATGATGATTTGAATAACATTTGTTTACCTACCTATCGATGTAATCAGTGGATGATTCCAAACAGCTTCCAGTGAACAGACTTGTGAGAGACAGACGGAGTAGACATGCCTCCTCCCCTAAAACAAACAGCTTACTCAGACTATTAATTGTTCATACTCGTAGAATCATAGTTAAGCAAAGCTTGTTAGTCAGCATCTTAACTTAATAAGTGTAGGGTTTGATTTATTTAAATATTCTGTGTATGTGTGTGTGTGTATACGCTTATATATATTATCTTGAAAATAATGTGGTATTAGTTTCTTTGTCCAACGCACATAGAAGTAACTGTGCCTAGGACAGCAGTATTGAAATGATTTGTGTTCCTTGAACAGCAGAAATTAGAGACGGTTGTATCTCTTTACACCTTTTGTTGCCCTGCCCATTTTTCCTTTTTCTGGCTCGAACATAACCGTATTCGCCCCTTCTGGTCTGGTTGGATAGTTTTACGAAACCACATCTGCTGTATCAGTTGCATGCGAGGATGGGCCTGAAATGCCGTGTGACGATGATGGCAGAGAACAGCTCAACTGTGTAAGCCATTACAGCCCTATTGAAATAAAGACGCTCCTCTCAGGCTATTCAGAACTTCAGTCTCAAAGCATGCAAATTAGAATACTTTGGTAATGTAAGCTGCCAGGTTCTGGCAGCTAATGTTATTGCAGTATTTTGATCAGGTTAAAACACAACACATCGTATGAGCATCTTCTTTTCAACTTAAATTCATCCCTAAGTTGTTCTCTGTCAATAAAAATAGAAGAAAAGAACAAGGATAGCTCTATTTAGTTTTCTAACTACTATCATTAATCATTTGGTAGGATGTCTGTTTTTTATTAATGTGTCTCAAAACGTTAAACTTAACCTAAAAACCAACAAATCATGTGACCCCATTAAATGTGACCACAAGAATGAATTGCATTCATGTTTGGGTACTTTTCAAACGTGCTTGAGCCACAGCCTTATATGTTTGTCCCTGAGTAGTTCATGCACATCAAAGGGAGATTTAGCAAAGCAAGTGTTAAAGAGATAATTTACCAATAACCCCCGATATAAATGTTTTTTCTCTCCCCCAGTTCTTATGACATTCCCTCGCAGATCATAATGAGCATGGTTAACTTTCTTTGGCTCATAATGAAGACACTTTCACTTTAAATAAAAGTCCAGATTACAAAATGATGCAACGCAGAAGCTCACAAGTTCTGGGGAAAGAACAAGGTCAATACTGCTTGCACCAAACAAATACTGTATGTTTGTCACAGATGAATCCACTAAATATTTATTGAACTCGTCTTTTTTTGGCCAATAAATGTTCCAAAAATTGTGAAAAGAGTCTAAAACTGAACACTGAGCTATTGAAGAAGAATCAGAGTCTCAGGAATGGATAATGGACTTGGGCTTGTATATCACTTTTCTAGTCTTCTGCCTACTCAGAACACTTTTACAATGCAGGTCACACCTACCCAATCACAGCCATTCACACACTGATGGCTGACGCTGCTATGTAAAGTGTCCATCAGTATAAACTAATTCCATTCATAGAGCAACCTTTGGTGAAGGGTCTTGTGGCTGCAGGAGCTGTGGCAGCTGTGGCTCAGTTGGTAGAGCCGGACCGTTTCTTAACCGGAAGGTCAGGGGTTCGATCCCCTGCTCCTGCAGCTATATGTCTTGATGTGGCGCTTAATCCAAGTTGCTCCCACTGATTCGTCGGACGCGTATTGTGAATTGGATTAGTTGTTGCTCCAATGCTTTCATAGCTGAATATCTACAAGCTATTTGTGAAGCTTTGGTTTGTATTATTTGTGGTGTTATTGTGCGAGTGTGTGTGTGTGTTTACCATTAGTGGTGACAATAGTGTCACCATACATGTTGGTCATCAAGTCCGTTGGATCCTTCAGAAACAAGTTTGACTTCTCTGAAACACAAGATGTTTAATAAGCACACATATGAATACAGTCGTATGTGCGTTCAAACAAACAAAGCGCTAAAGCAGCGTGAGGGGAGAGACACTGAGGATGATCTCCTTTCAGTGAGTGTAGCAGCAGTGTACAGTTTCAAGGTGACAAAATTCCATAATATAGTAATGCTTATAAGTTCCCATTAATATGTTTAACATAAATTGATTTTTTTTCTCCTAATTCACAGTTACTACTACAAATAAAAGGACGACTAAAGCCCTGATGAATTTGGCATATTCTGTTGACTGAAAAGAAAGGAACAAACCATGTTTATGACATTTTTCATCGTGACGTCATGGTGAACTCGTGTTTAGGTTTTTTACTGTGATCTGAAATTTCCAATAACTTTCAATATTTTACATTTTTAGGTTCGCAGTCAAGACTCAGGACAATAATAAAAGTATCCTAAGGTTGTTCAATTTTAAAAGTGTTAATACACGAGCAAACTAGTGTAACAAACTATTAACGACTAATAATTAAATAAAAAACATCTTACAACCCTCCTCCTCCTCTTTGCAGCAACATCACGAGTCTCTCCCATGACAGATCAGACTAATCCTAGGGATGATTTTACTCCATGCAGTGGAACATTTCTTTTTTTGTTCCCTTCTGACTCATTGTCTTGAGGCAGAGGGGGAAAAAGGTCAATTTAAACTAACGGGACTTTTCATAGAGACATTTCCTTTTAAAAGTCTATATCTCTGCAGTGATACACCTTGCAATATCATCAAGTTTCAATAAGTAGCCTCAACCTTAAAGGAGGCTTAACAATTAATATTTCATCCCAATAATATATTAATGACCTTGTGACTTTTTTTTGTTGTAGTTTGAAACATTATTCCTTCAGCTTCATATTAAGAGTAAGGTGCATTCACGTACATAAAACAGAGCCTACCACACAATAGCTCTCTCATCCCTTGCACTGAGCAGATGAAGGCGGTCGGTCTGTTCAGCAGACGGCACTGAAACACTCTGCTGTGGTGTTTCTCGATCCTCTGCCGGCAGAAGCTCACCGGGTCCCGGTAAAACTCCAGCGACTTGTCCCCGAGTACCGACACACCTGCATTTCCTGGTAGTTTCGACATTCAGGGCCGACGTGGAATACGGAGTTCTTCTTTTTTTTTTTTTTTTTTTAAAGTTGAAAGGTTGAATTACTTTGCTCACACAACAGTGAACTTTATTTAAACTCGATCCTGGTTCCGCGTAAATCCTGTTACCATCGTCTGTTAATCATTCTAATCCGAGCGATCTGTGTGTCAATCTGCTGCTATCTCATTGTTGGCAGTGGCACTGTTTTCTCTGAGGTAACTGAAACTATCCAGCTGCACCGGCGAGTGAAGCGTTCAGGTGCAATCCGTAATTCAGGACCTCCTGTTACTAATGCGGTCGTTACCGGTTGGTTAACACCTGCATTCCCAAGATCAAACCAGTTAAACGCAATGTTTTCTTTATGTACATATAAGGCCTATGATATTAGAACAATGGAACACGATGTGTGATTACCGAATAAATATTTCAACGACGAAATGAAGTGTGGTTAATTGATGAAAATTAAAAAGTGTATATCAGTTATAACTGAAAGTTTCTTTGAATACATTAAGGCGTAGAGTTATGCATACTAAGGCAAAATAAGAAGCTGTTTGTGGTAAGGCTTCACTTTAGATACGTCCTGTCGCTGACCTTGAACTGTTGTCTTGGTTTTATGTTGTTTGTATTCTTTGGAATATGCTACCTAAGGACAAGCCATAGATGAGCTTGATGGATGCGTTCCAGCAACCAAGATTCATTCTGCCTGCCTCAACACCAACTCTTTGCCTGCTTCTTGATAAGCTGTAGCTGTAGTAAACATCCCCAATGTAGCAACGGTCATCGTTAGGCTTCATAACGCCTCTTTAGAAACTAGGGAGGGAGATCAGTGAGGATGTTTAATACTGTTTATGATGGTCACATTCATATTTGAATTTAAGTACTTTTTTTTATCACTCTACATCAATGTTGGATGCATTTCCCGAGTTTAGTGAGGAGACACTTATAGATGTAGTAACCTTAACATACAGAACAAAATAATTTTGGAAAATAAATCTGTTTATGTGAAGCTTTTCACATCACTTTCCACCACTCCTGGACCTTTCTCCACAATCATTCAAGGAATCTTAAATCTAATGTTTGCCTTCCATCAGTTATTGAATCCACAGTCTACTGCTGCTGTTATTAACTTATTGCAAAAATCGCTTCATTGTCATCGACTTTTAAGAAGGCCAAACACCAGCACATCAAGGAGCAGTTAACAAATAGAGAATGATCAAGTTAGACTTGTTTCATTAAATGCAAGGCTTCACCACATCCTCTGTGCAGCTCCTTTGGCCATTCATTTCATCTCTGCTGCATTCCTTGCTGCTGTGACCTCCAGCAGCTGAAGGATGCTTACACTCTGTGGAACGTCTCCTGCTAATCCCACCAAGCAGCACTTCAGAGATCACTGCAGGACGAAGGTGCAACATCCAAGAGAGCTGCTGCAGAGAGTTGAAGACGTCCTTCATCCCTTCTAGTTGGCAAATGACGGCACTTCACTGTATTAGCTTACTGCGGAAGTATTATCATTAATACTGTTTTGAGATAATATTTCTTGAAGGCAGGAGCATTATCTGTCTACGCTTGATAGCAACTAAAAAACTTAAATTTAGTCAAGAACTGCACTTGAATTGTGGTTATTTTCTATTACTTGAGTATTGTAGTTTTACGCAACCTTCAGCATCTAAAGCAGTTAAATTCATCATGCAAATAATAGTTAAACACTGAAAGGGACCATTTAACAGTACTATGAATACTTCACATTTCATACTTTTAGTAAGCTGACTATATATTATACTGATTGTATATTATACTTAAAAAAAGTGTTTTTAATGACTATGACTGATAATAGAACATTTTTACAGCTTATTATTTGTACTTATAGACTCACGTACAGAATCAGCACTATGTGTAAACTAGCCTATGTGTTATGTTCAATTGTATTCTATCTTATAGGCTTATCTTAAGCAGACAATGCCAATAAGGTACCAAAAGTACCTTTCGGGTGAGACTCACAGTGCTGTAGGCCTACCTGTATCTGTTTACATTGTGAGGCCACACGATGGCAGCATCGTCTCTCTCTCTCTCTCTCTCTCTCTCTCTCTCTCTCTCTCTCTCTCTCTTCCTCGCTCCCTATCTCTCTCTCCCTCTTCCCAAATCTAAATGGCACGAGGCGGACTGTCGCTTGTGTCACTCATCTACAGCTCGTGCAGAACGCTCTGTGTGAGCTCGCGGCCTTTTTATTCTGCCTTTCTTCATGTGACCATGACCATGGGAGCCACTCGCACGCAGCGGGGTGCCTGCTGTGTCTGAAGTACAGCGGAGAGGAGCACGGCACAGGTGAGCACGTTAGACTATGGAAGAAGTTTTAAAGTCTGACCGACCGAAGGAGCAAGGTAGAAAAATGTTTCTGAGATGAAGTGCAATTGTAATGGATGTTGTTGAGTGTTTTGTTCTCCTGTTTTCGATAGCTATTCTCCACTAAAGCCATTGGTTAAGAATGAAAGTTTAGCTTTTTAGAAAATGCACAGAAGTAACAAATCGAATGTGACCATTTTTCTCAGGTCACTCACTTACTTGAAACAGATTGTGCACTGTTATGTCGTCAATAGTTCTTGTCATTAATATTGCAAAAGTGAGATAACTGTTCTGTTGCGCTGTAGATTGTGCAGTTCTTTCTATTTGACCTGTTTTAGTGCTTATTCTCAGTGGTGTAATGCAGGGTATACGCAGGTATACAGAGTGTACCCACTTATTTTTCAGTCCCCATAGGGTATACCCACTTCTTGATTGACAATATTCAATAATATGCTGCATTTTCTTTCTAGGATGGGGAAGAGATGACTCTCCCTATTGTCTCTAATTGGCTAGTACACACTAACTATGCAAGTGTAGTCTTACATGTCACTTTTTATAACAGAGGCCTTTCATACTCTGCTGGACAGGCCACTTAAAACAAAAATGGGGGGGGGGAATTAAGCGTATACCCACCTCTTTAGGCACTAACACCACTGCTTATTATGAATATAAAAAGAAAAGCTGAGTGACAGATCTTGACAAGTTTGTGATACTTGCTGGCTGTAAAAAGCTCATAGTGTCATACGGTGTCCTACATTCAAAGATTGTAATATTCTAGTAAATAAAGGTGTAAAAAGGGATGGAAACGTGAAATTCTTTGTCTGAAGGTGTTTTTTTCCATCTCTTTTTTTAAGATTTGTTTAGGAATATGCCTTTAGTAGAAAGAGCAGCCTAGTGACTTGGAAAGGGAGGGGATGACATGCAGCAAAGGACTGAGGGCTGGAGTCAAACCTGAGCCGATCCATTAATCTTTTATTTCGTAATCAAATCAATAAGCTTTTCTTGATTGTAACATTAGGTTTAAGTATTTTTGTAATTACTATCTTTTAGGTGATGCAACAACATGACAAACATTACAAGTGTCATAAAGACAAACAGGAGTAAGAATACAAAGACGGAAACAATAACATTGAAAGCTTTACATGATGCACTTGAGAGTTAAAACAAGACAGTTCGATCTAATTCATTGCTGTGTGATAGAAGAGGATGAGCCGAAGAATATAGGTACCCCATGTCAGATACTTAGATAAATAGATAGATAGGTTTAAGTATCTAAAACCGCATTAAGTAAAAACACAGACTTTTAAACATCATCTTGTTGACACACACTTTTTTTCTCAAATGATCTCGTAAATAATGGGCTGATGTTAAAGCTAAATACTTCATTGTTCTGTTAAAGACTGTCACATACAGTATTGTTTGTACATTGATATATACTGTATATTATTGTTGCTGATGTACATTTAATCGTGCATTTGATGAATACAAAGTGTATATTCTGACCTGTTATCCTTATCCAGCATTTTATTTCTATGAAGGTTTGGATAAGAAATGTTTCTAGCTTTTGAAACGTTAGAAGTGGACAGTGGGTTAAGTGTTTCATTCATTGATCACAATTCAAATATTTGCCACTTAAGTGCAACTCAAAAAAGACAACCAGGATAACCCACAGTTTATCCAATAGTTCTTCACAAGTTGTATAGATATTATGAAGGACTGATGCCACTGCTACCACACAGGATGCAGCATTTTCAAACAAGGCTGATATAGTGCTGTCATCCAAAAGCAATTCCCTGTAGGCCATTGTTTAAATCCCCTCTCTGCTTTTGAATCACTTTCAGGGCTCTGCCTTGACATGAGTCTTAGACTAAATCTTGTGCAAACCATTATTAGGTTGCTGATATCTTTTGGCTTGTCTGAAAACACAAAACATACAAATAGAGTCCACAATGAATGACCTTTAGACAACACTGCATTGGTCCTGTTCAGGATTGAGAAGAGGAACCAGTAGATCCTCAGAGGTTATTTTCCAGGTATAAACTGTCCCATCCGTAGCCTTGTAACCACTGGCAGCATCTGGGAGAAAGACGAGATAAATGAAAGACAATTTGTGAAAGTAGTAAGGGATAGTGAGTCACTATTGCTTTACTTATTTTTGCAACATTAATGAATCTGGAAAAAGCACACCAGCCTCACCCACTAATTGAAAACCCAAAGCAAGGAACAAATCAAACACTGTAACATCTGTAAATGACTCAGGCAGGTGAAACAAAGTAGTGCAGAGAGAGTGGGAATGTTAAGTAGCCTCCTCCTGACAAAAAAAAACGTTTGTTAGAAAAAAGGTGGTAGCCCCTGTCTTTGAGTTAAGCGGAAGCAGATCTCGTCCGTGTGATCACCTACTGAGTTGTCCTTATTAGCTTCTCCCTGTAGACATGTAAGAGAGAGCCAGTGCCTTCGGGCTAATTTGAAGCTGCCTGTATCATCTCTAACTCATTAGCCTGATTCCAAAGATCATCCAGCCTTTATTCCTTATCAAAGTAACATAATCATGTATTTTTGCCACTTGGGTATCGTTATGGGCAGCCATCAGTCAAGTCAACACAGTGCTGTCAACATTGATAAAATGCCCTTCGTTGTGGCTAAATTGCCTATATGGAAAAACGTTTTTTATTGGACAGTTCATATTTTCCTTAAGTTTTTTTTTTTTTTTTTTTGCCAGACAACCATTAACTCCTTCATTTTGATTCTATTCAGTAATCTACAAAATATCAGTGTCCTCAGAGCTTATTCGAGAGCCATCCTCAGTCTTACATTTTTTTTGTCTGGTGTGAAAATATCAACTAATGACTGCGATAACCAGAACCATTAAGACACATAAGAATACTCCTACTCCTCTACAAGTGTTCTGGTGCTCAGCAGGTCTCAGTGTAGAGAGGAGGAATGTGGGGTTGTAACAGTCAGAATGTTGTTACATGTGTTTCATTTTTTTGATTAGCAAATAGAATCGAACAAAATTACAATTTTGATCATCTAATCACCTACGTTATACTAAGCTGAAAATGCAAATATACAACACCTCTCAGATATGGATATTTTCTGTCTTTTCCTGTTCATTTTAAGATGGTGCCTTGGGCTCTAGGAAACTATCATAGTGATTTCTCAGTGTTTCATCACATTTCATAGACCGTAAACTTCCCTTATCACATCCTTTTCTGTATTTTATCACGAAAAAGAGAATAGGAAAATCAAAACTATTCACCTTTTTGTCATGAAGTGAGTTGACACTGCTGCCAGCTAATGAGTGGACCTTCAAATCCTTCGATTCGATTCGAACAGCCTGGGCCATTGGAGTGTGTTTTTTTTTGTTTTCCATTCTTAGGAGCTTTGGGCAGATTTTATAGAAACAAAAGCGAATTTCTTTAATTTACTTTTTAGCAAAAAAAAAAGTTTCCATTTATACACATTCCTGATGTATAGTCTGAGTGAACAGGCGGCAGCGTTGAAGTAGTGCCATATATAGACTCGCTGTACAACCCGCTGAATTTCACACAGAAAAGGGTCATTAAGCGTTCATATTTCATCGTGTACGGTCACTTTGTTTCCAAACGCTTCTTCGTCTTTTCTCTGTTCACTCTCAACCAGTCTGCGTCGTGCAGGTGATGGCGTGTGACAACAATCAGCATGTTAGTAACATTTCATCCTGCTGCCGTCTGTTGCTGTAAACTTACTTATCCAAACTCTGCAAGTGTTTCCATTTGAGAAGGTGACACGTGTAAAACAATGTTTGCAGACAGTCATGTATTTGTTCGCCGTTTTCTCTTCCTTTTCATTATTCATAACGCAGAAACTGAAATTTCCCCACACCACTGATTTGAGAGACGGCGGTGTTTCCTCATAATGTTGCCTCTTCTCACCGCTCGCTTTGTTAAAATAATTTGTGAAATCACCAATACTGTCAGCTTTCCCCAGCTTTAGCGCATAGTGACTGGATATTGACTCGTGTGGGGAAGTTTCCTGATCCCATCACATGGTCTCACAGGCACACACAGACAGAGCCAATTTGGATAGAAACACAATGCCTGGAAGCTTATTTGTACGCAAAACTGAAAACACTGCAATTCACAAGCGTTTATTGAACCGTGGATGCTGTAAGCAACGGTTCAATATTATATTGAGTATTGCTGCATGATCCCTATAACACACACAGCGCTGACACTGGATGCTCAAGTTTAATTAGCAGTTACAAAAAGCAACTTTTACGTTTGTGTATTCCCATTGTCATGGTAACAGTGATTTTTTTTTATTCAAAGAGGTACCGTCACCAGTTGGTCGCGCACTTTGAATATACAATTGAACATAATAAGAAATGATAGTTAACATCCAAGCACTGCCACTGCAGCACAAGTCTATTTGTTGAGTTTAAGAAATGTGACGCTTTCCCCCGAGAGAGTCAGTTCAGAGGACTGAATCAAGAGTGCTAAAAGTAAGAGGGGAGATTAAACAATTTTGGTTATTATTATCTTATTCTTGTAATTCCCAATATATAATGCAAAAAAAAGATTGCAATGTCAGCGCTTTACTAAATGTTGCAACCCTACTTCTCAGTAGTTGTTGCAGTTAGTGTCTATAATATATGAATTGGTGTAATCTTTGTTTTTCCTTGTTATTGGTTATAGTTATAATTGTTTCCCTGAACATATTAAAGGGACCATTTACTGGCAGCATGTGTGCAGGAGGAGGTATTAATGTGGACGGTGATTGTATGAGAAAGTGGAAAACTGATCAGTCCTAACTAAATCCATGGGGAGGCACACATTTGGTGAAGGCCCTGGGTAGGCTTTATTTCCACAGCCTGCCTGGTTTTCACGTTTGTGCCCGTTTAACTCTGCATGTGTGTGTGCCTCCATGCATCTTTGTGTGCTATTCACTTCTTTCTCCATTAACCCCCTTCATCCAGTGAGCTGGCACTCTTATTGTCACTA